AAGAAGGGCCGGGTCCTCGGCTCGACAGAAACCAGTTGGGCCTTTGGTTGCATTGAGGTTTTCTGGCAAAGAAGTCCAAACCGACTTCCCAATCTGGCAACTCGGGATTCTTTGCTGGGGCATTCCATTTCTTGCTCAAGGGAATTACCTGGTGCACCTAGGGAATCCCCAGAGGGTCATGCCCTCCTTCCGCTGTGTGCCAGCAAGTCTTGTCAGCCTGACGAGGGTTAGGGTAGAACCAAATTTGGTCATTGGTAAACCTTTAGTAAACTATTGCGTAAACTGTTAGTCTTCTTTGTAAGCTGTTACAGCAATCTCTTAGCCCCTTACAGTACCCCCTTTCCAACAATTCTCTCTCTCTCTCTCTCGCGCGGCACTCCGCAGTGACAATCCGAAGTGAAAACTCCTTGGCCCAGCAGGAAGCCGATTAAACTGTCCAACAAGGGAAGTGGACTTTGTGTGGTTTGGGAAACGACAGCCCTCTTTAAAAGGACTCATTCGTCCACCATTATTGTCAGAAGGGGCAATGCGGGGCCTTCTGTCAAAAGTCCGCCAGCGGTTGGCCATATTGTCACGGCGGTGCAAGGAACCGACATGCGATGTTTGAAATCTCTCAACACGTAAAAGAGTGGTTTAATGAGGCATGTGGGTGCTTCTCAAAGGGATACCTTTTTATTTGGCTGGCTTTCACGGAAACCAACAGGAAACCACCCTGGAGAGGATCTCGTTTCAGAAACACCGTGAGTGTAGGTCACTCCCTCCCACTTCATGGGCGATCCTGAGGCCTGGACCCACTGGACAGGCCACCGCTAAGCCCAGCCTTGGATACAAACGACTCGGGCAATACATGAAAAGCAACTCGACCTTTTCGGTGCTGGAAAAAGACAGCTAAAACCAAGAAATGACAAAGCAGAACACGCAAAAACGATAAATTGTAAAAACAATCCAAACAACCAACTCCCGTTGCATGCTGGCAAAAACGAGAAACACGAACACCTGAGCAAAAAAGAAGACGCTTTCGAGCACCCATTTCTAGAGGCACCATTAGCAGCTGCCCTCTTGTCGTCCCAAAGGCGCAGAACCAAGAGGCCAGGGCTTCCCGGAAATCCTCCTCCCATTTCAAAGTCCTTTCAGCTTTCACCGGCCTGGAACGCCTTGCTTTTGAACAGGGGCAACGAGCCCCTAGGATCCCCAAACCTCAGCAGGTGCGTTTACGCTCAAAAGGATTACATGTGGAATCAAGACCCTCGGGCCGGTTGAAATTGAGAAGCAAAAGGACAACACGGCAGCCAAGGCTTGCTTCAGGTGCGTTTAAATATGGGCCAAGAGATGCATGAAACAAACAAACATGTATACATATATATATATATATATATTCATGTGTTTTTCAGAGTATCCCCTGTTTGTGGTTTTAAAGGGAAACCAAAGGACAACCCGCCACTTTGGGGGTCCCCTAAAAAAGACACACGCATACATAAGCGTCCCGTACGTGGACGACATTGAATTCCCGCCCTGGTCGTTTCAGATCGAATGAGGGTTTGTCAGAATAGGGGGACCCCCAAATGGCGGCCTTCCCTTTGGTGTCCCTTGAAACCAACCTGCAAAGGGTACCCTCAAACAAAACCAACCCATTACACAGTAACAACTATGCCAATTTCGAGTTGCAGATTCAGTGTCTGTCATGTTCGGTTCTGCAGTTCCAAACAAAGAAACCAAAACCAACAGGGAGAAAGAACTCAACGCACGAAATCCCACTATTGATCACCTCCGACGGGTTCCGGGTGGCAGGTCGATGGCGCAGGCCATCATGAAGTCCCCCGCACAGAGGATGGCCCCGGCGGTCCAGGCGACCATGATCCCTGGCAGCTTCCTTGGAACTTGCGATCTTCGTCGGCCGATCCCAGGTTGGGCTGTTCTAACACACAGGGCTTGTGGGTTGGACTCCAACCGGTCAAAGGCACCATGATGCCTGCTTCATGCAGCGCGAGTCCGATGACTCCCAGCACATGTGGGGTAGCTGCAAAGCAACACTCGCTCGCGTGCCCATGCAGAGGCCCTCGCTCCAAATCTTCATGGACAGGCGTTGCAAACAAGAAGGGATGCGTGAAACAAACACAGAATCACTTGTAGCTGACAAGCCAAACATTCGGGATGGCCCTCTCTCTGTCTCTCTGCATAGGCTGTAAATCAACATGTTCAATCTTAGTCAGTCTGACGCAAAGGAACAACCTATTTACTCAGGCTCTCATAATCTCAGTAATAGATATCCAGCCGAAATGAATCCACATCAGTGAACCAAGTGAGCTGAATTTCATGAGCCTGAATTGACTGAAGGCGAGTGAACTGACCTCCAAAGCCCAAGTGTCTACACTTTTCCCGGAACAGACCTCGGATTGGTTGGAGTATCGATTTGTGTTCCTTGGGGCTGAGCCATGCGATGCTTGGAAGCCCTGAAAGGGAAGCACCTGTCACATTGCCCAAAAATGGGTTGCACTTTGGATCGGCTTCACTTTGGATCGGTTCGTCTGGTGTCCTTCCTCCGCTTTGGCCGCAACACCCGGGGCAAGCCAGCGGATTCCATGCGGCTCGAGCCGCTCCCGGATCTCTGCGGCGAAGACCTGGTGGAACTGGGCCCCGTCCTGCAGAAGTCTGGGGGTCGGAGTGAGGTGCCTGTTTCCCTGTGCTTTCTCTTGGTTTTCGGGGGGATGTTCCCTTTTTTCCGGTTTTTCCCCGTTTCCCTGTTGTTCGTTCTTTTTTCCCTGTTCGTTCTTTTTTTTTCAGGGCCCAGAGGCTCCAAGAGGGCTTTCAACGGAAGACCCGATCCATTAGACACCCCGCTTCGGTGTTTGGGCCCCGGTCTCAAGACCAGGCTGTTAAATCGGGCCCCAAATACATCGGGAGCCTCAGGAAAAGGGCGATTCCGGTGTTGGCTAAGAGCCTTGGCCACAGGAGCCGCTGAAACGCCCAATGGGGATATAGGAACCAACCGTAACCTTTGGGGTTAGTTCGAAGCCGGGAACTGGTTCGTGACGCTTCGAGCGCGCGATGCACATTCCCATTCGGCTGAGCAGGTTTTGGCCCCGAAACATAGTCGACCGGGAGTACCCCGACTGGTTTTGGACCAATACTTGTGAGCGGAGTGTTGGGGCCTTTCACCCCGTTGGAGTTGTGTTTCTCTGAGTGCCTCAGCCAAGGTTGGCACTTCATGCTGGCCATTGACCCCACTTCCGCGATCTGTGCCCAGCTCGTGTTGCACGGCAACTGGCGGAACCTGATCCGGGGTGTTGAGGCACCCTAGGCCAGAACTTCCAAATCCTGCGAATTTGACTGAACCCAACTTGTTCTTGTCGCCGAGCTGCGAAATGCCGGGCGTCTGCAAACCGCAACGTGCCCATGGTGAAGCACATAAACAGCGTCGTAAGCATCTGCGGGCCCTCCCCTTTGACATCAACGTCGCCGGGGGTCCTCATCCTTGCCTTTTCAGCACCCGTGCCCCAACAGGCTAAATGGTGAGGTTGGGAAAGTATAGGGACCTGCGTGGCAGCCAAGAGTCGTCAACCCAAAGTTCACGTTCTCCGAGCCTCCTTGCTTCCTGCATGCCGGCCAGCTTCCCCAGCAAAACCTCAGAAAGTGCATGAATGCCTGCTTGTCAGAAAAGAAAGTATGTCCCTCTTGCCTCTGCGTAGAAGTAAAACGTCAAGCGTTGGGCACTTCTAATTGAACGTGTGCGTATGTGTCAACACTAAGCCCGTCTTCGAACTCGTGGTTTTCTTTGAGACCGCCCCTTGCAGCCTTCAACTCATCACTCAAGAAGTACTACGCGCCGTCAACGACGATCCGGGATCCACGGATTCAAGCAACTGATCGTTGAGGGGTCGAAGTTGCCCAAGATTGCCCAAGAATCTCAAATCATCCGAGGTGGTGTGGGGGCAGAGGGGTCTGGCTTTCTTAGGTCTGGATCCGACCCAGGCGATTTGGACGCTCATGGCAAACATTGGACAGCAGCTAGATCCGCCTGCTAGACCACATGAGGGACACCAGGACAGGCTCTTAGATACTTGCAAGCAGGGGAACCTTGAGGGTTTCATTACACGCCTTGCCATATCGTGGAGGCTATTTGTTTGCCCCAGAACCCCATTATACCATGCCCTTGCTGCTGCTCTGGAGCCACAGCATGAACATCATAGGCAGGGCCGCGTCATTGCCCTCCGGAGTAAACATAGCCGCCTGCGCACGCGCGGAAGCTGTTTCCAGGCTCCAAACTGTGGCAGCATGGAGCAAGCAAACACTTCCTTGGCCGGATGCCTTGAAGTCCTTCCGAGGCTCTACACCACCCGGCAAACATGTCCCCTGCACAGCAGACCTGAGACCAACAGCCATAAAACAAAGTCGAGCTGGTTGCATCGATCTGGCAAAGCTGAACGAATTACATTGTGAGTGGCCCACAATCGAAATGATCCTCGAACCAGTCTTGACCTCTCAACCCTGCCTCAAGCCGTGCGCATCCAGCAAGAAAGGAGGCTAACGGCTGGCACAGAGAGAGAGAGAGAGCAAAAAACACAGTTTAGAAGCACGATAAACCTGACAGCATGTCATTATGTTCAAAGTACAACAAGTGAATCCAACAGTGCAACCACACCTCTGTCTCATACAGTCAGGCCGCCAAAACTTTGTTCTCCTCCAAAGCGTGGCAATTTTGGCGCTTGCCGCTTTTCCCCTGCTCCGCTCATCGCCCAGCTCCGCGAGCCGGTTTGCCTCGCCGCAGACGTCAGCCCATTGATGTCTCGGCTTCGCGATTCGCGACTCTCGCGACTCGCGAAGCCGAGCCGAGCCCTTCAAGCTGTCCGCACGCAACGTCCGTGGACTCGCGTTGGGCTTTGCGCATCGCGCGCTTGGCACGAGGGGGTCTCCGTCGACGCGGTGGTCGCCGTCTCTTTGCCCGCGCCCAGCATCGGCGCGATTCGGAGACTTGCACGACGTGGAGGCTCTATCTGGGTCTCTCACTGCTTGGAACCTCAAAACTAGCGCAGTGGCTCAGGATCAATCCAAAGTCTGGATCGCAGAACTTGCCCCCGGAATCAAGCCACATGCCTCTGCACATACATGCACGTGCCGTATATAAGGCATTGCAAGAGAAGCCGGAACACTGGGTAGCGTCAGGAAAATCCTGTGAGGGCACGCCCCTTCTCTGCAAAGTACATGGAGAGATGACTAAAAGCCTTCTGAGAAAGCAATGTCAGCTTTTCGCAATGACACCTTCTGAGAAGCAGTGCAGGGAGGCGTTTGCAAGGGTTACGGCGCTGAGTGTTTGCCAATGCTTCTCCGCCGGCTCTACCCATCCCCCTGACACTTTGTTTGGCCAATATACAGTAGCAAGTTGAGCTGGCAAGGGTTTCGATCAAGGTCCACAAGTCTCCTTCTCTGGTCCTCAGTTCGGCCGAGCTAGTGTTGAGCCCCTGAGAGGAAGTCAAGAGATCAAGAGCCCGCCAAGGGACAGAGCAGTACCACTATGGATGCAATCCTATTATCCCCTGCTTGCAGGAAGCCAGCATGGGTTTCCATTGGTGGGTGTGACTTGTCTCTTCATCCAGCGCCAGGGATCTGCAGAACTTAGGGGCGAGCCTCTGCCCTCCCAGATGTCTAATCAATCCCAAGTCTGTTTGCAACGATCAGAACCCCCTTCCAAAGCCACCCTCCCCAACCGGCGTGAGAGGATCTGGGGCCCCAGACCTTTTGCCAGCATTCCGGGCCTCGGTAAGTTGTACAGTAGACTCCAGCACGGCACTTGCAGAAAGGCCCAGGTTGCCTTTAGCAACAAAAATGATAGGACATCTAGCAGTTAAGCTGCCTTCTTGTCCATTTTCCGCTTGGTGAGAAAGTGGGGAAGAGTCGGCAGGAAAGACTAAGCATAACGGACACTAGGCTGGACCGAGACTTGTGGGAGAAACCGAAGTGAGCTTCCAGGAAATCCCTTTAAAAGTGGAGCACGCAAGTAGCAAAAGTACGGCACAAAGGAACCACAATGTTGGAAAAGGGTCTGAAACGTCCCTAAGCACCTGGACGTCAACCTACTCAGTAGATCATAGTTAAAACTGACTCATGACCAGGGTCCTGCCAAATCATTTGGTTGAACGTCCACGTGGGCTTGCCATTCATCCACAAAGGACCCTAAATTGAGGGCTTGGTGGCCTCGTGGTTTCTGTTTAAAGTTAAAACCAACCCCTAAAACACGCGCTAAGACCTGTCTGGATTCTACCTGGATTCCTTTTGGTTCAGTTTGGATTCCAACAAAGACCCAAGTGCTGAGTGGCACACGGGGGCCTTGGCGGCGGCTGCTCCTGCAAAGTGGGCACGTGCCGCCTCGGCTACCGATCGACGTGTGAAGAGGCCGCCTGTCCCGGAGGCCCGAGAAAAACATGAGTCATACTCAAAACCCGGTAGTAAAATGAGCCATGCTTCAAGAATTAAGAAGGCGGAATTCCGCAACTATTTCTGGCTGGGACTGCCCCTTACTAACCTTCATCTACCCGGGTTTGGGTTGTGGCACATATGACTTTGTCTGCGGGTTGAACAGGAAAATGAGGGATCCCCAGTCAAAGCCAAAAATGATGATAATCATTACGAAGTACTCTGGTCGAAACGGCGACGTTCTCCTGAAACGGATCCCCTTCGGGGACAGCCGCGGCAGGAGTCAACAGACTGTACCCCAATCATCACCTCTTGTTAAAGCAAAAACGATTCGGTCATCGGAACCAAACTGACACCAGAGGACGCCAATGCAAAAGGTAAATGAGTGCTAGGCTCGGCAAGGGAACACTTGTTGGCCTAGATACATTGACCTAGAAACAGTCTTATCGAAATAGGGCCCCAACATGGGCCGGTTCACTCAAGACAAGCACCCACATGGCAGCAGGATGTCGGCCCTATAACAAACAAATTACAAGCCACATAGCTCACTACAGGTCGGTTCAAATCTGTGCGCGCATGCCTTGTAGGGACAACATCAAGCACCAGTTGGAGGCTTAGACCCTGTGAATACTGGGATACGCCCCAAAACTGGTGCAGGGTTTCGTCCACGGCAGGTATGTCATCCTATACATGCACATCTTCAAACACATGCTTGTATGTGTTTTGCATGATATCCCACTGTTCCTTAGCCCGGAACGGCGACTTCACCTGGCAGATTGGCAGTAATCATAATCAAACGTATGGGCTTGTGTTCTTGAGGTTCCCTTTTCAGGTTGGTTTAAAGGGAAGCCAAGAGGAACACACACACACACCGAACTAGCCCGGAAGATGGTGAGGCCAGTTCGGCTCTCCAGATCAACTCCAGATTGACACCCCCAGCTTCGTTGCAACAGGTTAGATTTCCGGGGAGCGGGCATGGGCGGCCCGCCTCCAAATGTTACACAGAAACCGCTGTAGCATGCTTTTTGCGGAGCAATGGATGCATTCTAACCAAGCAATATAATTGTCTCAAGGTGTCCCTAAAGATTCAAGTTGAGGTTCAGGACACGATTGACAAACATACGTGCGATGCTCATGGTGAGGCCTCTTCGAAAGAACCAGCAGGAGGACTCGAAAGAAACAACTTGCTGCTGGCTTGGCAAGTGCAACAATCGGGTTGCTCTTGTGTCCCCCTTTTCCTGCCACCCCAACTGACATGGAGAACATTATAACTGCCATATTTGGCTTGTCTGAGGATCATGTCAGTCTCCGCTGCTCTCGAATATTCTATACAAACGAAGAGCGCGCCTGTCGCTGAAATCTGCATCTCGATTCTCTCAAGCCCGCTAAGCGCGCCATCTGAATTCATCCAAAACAAGTTGCCCTTATACTGGCAAGGTTACCGCCCACCCCATCTCGCATGCTTTCTTTTAAAACCCTAAATAACCAATTGCGCAGATGAGCATCTCAAGCTGAGCGCTAGGGCAAGGTGTGTGTGTGTGTGTATTCAATCAAAAGCCTCGAATGGTTGCCTCAAAAAAAAGGAGGGTTGTGGTCAGTAACCAGTGGCTGCAAGTAACCCAAGGCTGGGTGACCGCAAATGGGCTCTTTTCGGATGCACACATGATTGCCCTTTGGTGCAAGCGATCAGAACTTGTTTATTAGGACCCGACTTCTGGTCCCCTGCAAAGGCTGCACGCTTGCATCCCACCGAGTTTCCGTTCCCGCCTCACTCTCGCGCGAGGCCTGGCCAGGCCGGTGCTTTCCAGATCCGCGCTGTTTGAGAAGCTGCACCAGGCACTGGGTGCTCAATAGGAGGGGCTAGAAAAAGGATAAGATGACCAATCCCGGGAAGGTCGAAACGAAATAAGGTCCAAGTTCAGGCAGCGGGATGGTGTTGGGGGGTTTTCTGGATTGGGAGTCAGCGGCTGCGTATCTCAAGGACACACCGAATGGAGGAAACTATTTGCTTGGCATGCATGCTGACGCCAAAAGAGTGTCTCCAAAAGCGGATCGCCCTCTCTTTAGGTCGCTCCCAAAACTCCAGGTCGCTGTAATCCCCCCCCAACCCCAAAAGAGCAAGACATGTATGTGCCAGCAGTGCCTACTTCAGGGGTACGTGGTCGAGCGCTAAGGATTATTGTCAGTTGCCTCCAACACTCTATGACCTGCCATTCAATCCCGCCTTAGTCAAAACCACATGCAGCCCTAAGCGAAGCCAACAAGCAAACGCTGTCGCTGCCAACAATAGGTTCGTATTCAAGACGAATGATTGGAAGACCTTAATCCACCTCAGGACTTCTGGCGGAATTCTGTTGATTCTCCAGCGGGCACACCAGAAAATGTAAGCGTGGCAATTGCAGCATGTCGTATCACTCCACGCAGTGCGAAAGGCTTAAGCTTGGCAAGCCGGGCTGCACAGTTTTTTTGTTTCTGGACGAGACCCAGCAACTAAAATGGCTTCACCGCCTCCAGACATATGACAATCAAGACCTTGTGCTCCGTGCAGGTGCGTTTGTGGAAACTTGTCGGATCGCAGTTCGGCAAATCAACATGGGTGTGCCGCTTTTAAGAGAAAGAGAAACCACCCACTTTGTTGGTCACCCCACATTTGGAATTCACAATTGGCATCCAGCCGCCGCTCTCATCTTGACTGGCCTCAAAGGCTACATTAGCAGGTTGCCGGGTGAAGCACGGTGCCAGCAGGCGTTGCTTGCTGACTGCAGGCGCGTGTCCATTGCTGCCACTAATCCACTAGCTGGCTGCCAACAAAACATGGGCCGCTTCACAGCTAGAAATTCCGGCATGGGAACTTTTCTGGTTTTCGGGCGAATTGCACTCCTTCGTTGCGCCTCCTGCGCAGGCTGCAGCGCACTCAGGGAGGTGCCTCAAATCAGCTGAGAAAGGGATTGCTAGGATGCTGGGATTGACGAGAAAAACGCCGTTGTTGGGCGGGGGTCCCCAATTTAAGGCACTGCCATGCATCAATTGAACCCACGCCTTCTCAAAAACCATGCGCTCGCCCAAGTGCGAGAAGCCCTGTAGTTCTGACAAAGGCAAGACCTGATGAGAGCGACTCTAGCACGAGCGGCGCCCAAATGCAGTTTCAGGTCTACCAAGATGACCGTGACTCTGACAGCAACCTGACAACTTTAATTCAAGCCTCGTGACCATGCTACAAGAAAACAAGAGGACCTCTTGCAGGACGTCAATGAACTGTTGAAGGCCGGAACCGTTTGAAGTGCCTATCTCAGCTTCCCCCATGTTAGGATAGCCATATTCAGTCAACCCGAAAGTGCGAAATGCCAAGAGAGAGATCCCAGAAAAAGGTCTGGAGTGTTCGCAAGCCCACCCCTCACAGGGACTGGCAGCTGCCCTTTGAGTGTCCGGCCCTGTGACGCCTCCTGGTTGGAAGGCCTGCACGTGTGGAGCGTGATGGAAAACCAAGCAGAGAGTTTGCCCGGGGAGGTCCTGAGTCGTCTATCCTCCCCAAACCATGGACACGGGTTCAGACGTTTTGCTTGCAGTACCACAAAGAGTCAAAAGGAACTTTACAAGGGCACTTTTGGGTTAGGATTTACGTACACCAGCCATTTGAACAGCTTCCAGGGTAAAACTCCTAACCATCTTCCGAAAAAGTCGAAGGACCGCACTTCTCGAAGGAATCCCACTTGCAATCGAAAAATCATGTCATAAGGATATGTGTCAAAACAAGGGGACCCCAAAACATCTGTTTGTGTGTGTGTGTGCTTTTTCCCGGGTGGTTTGCTTTTCAGCCAAGACTACAAACACCTTGTACAACAACACCCAACAAAAACAACATCTGAGGCCGGCGTCCGGGGCCCCGGCGTCCGCGGCCCTGGCGAGGCCGGCTGCGCCGGCTCCGGGCGGGCGGGCCGGGAGGCGCGCCAGTGCCGCACCTGAAACAAGTCGCACTTCCTGACTGGATGGGCTCCCCCTAACAAAAAAGAGAACTGGCTTGACCACTAAAACTTGGTCTTGTGGGCAAAAATAAGAACGTGCTTGTTGTTCGTGCTGTTTGTTTTTTGACCACTAAAATGGTCTTCCCGAAAACAGATGGTAGGTAGGTGGTTGAGAGGTGCTGGATGGTAGATGGTAGGCAGGTGGTAGGGGTGCTGCACCACGTGATTGAACGGCAGATGGCCACAATCCTGCGGCAGTTGGTTAATCTCAGGATGAGCGTTTCAGCCTCGATACTCAGCCTGCTTTCTGGGCGCGGTCCTTCCCAGAAAAACGGGCCTCTACACCTACATCTGTCGTTTCTTATCAAGCACCAAAACCCAAAAACTCATTTGTAACCTTCGGGGGTCCGAAAGGAAAGTGCCGAATCAACATATGTTGCCAAAGTAGGTTATATTGTCGTTTTGAAGGGGAGGGACGTTTGGCATTGCAGAAAGTGGCAACCTAAAGCCCTAGCTGGGTACATGCTCAAAAATAGTGGGGCCCCAAACCAATTCGGTTCTCCTTTCGATTTCCCTTGCAGCCAACCTTAAACGGGGCTACCCTCAAAACTGAGCACGCCCATTCTCACATGGCACAAACTTCTCCGCCTCGCGCCGGAGCTGCTCCGCCTCCTTGCGGAGGCTCGCAGCCTGCGGATGGAGGAAACTCCTCTTGGGTGACCCCCAACCCCCATTTGGCTGCGGGTCAAAACCAATGGTACCATTTTGGGGCAGGTGCACCACCTATTTTAGTGGGGATTGGGATGTTCACTGGGGGTACGGGATTTTGACCCATGGCAGTTTCTCGCACAAAAGGGGTGCCAAACCGGCGTCGCCGCCTCGAGAAAACCCTTCGGGCGAAGAGAAGCCCTGCCTCTTTGGCAGCAGCGCTCAACAAGGAGGGCTGCGAAATCATGGAGGGCTCCTGGGACACGCGGAGTCTTTTTTGAGTAATTCTAGGGGTAACTTCCATTCTTTCCAGGGATCCTTCTTTCCAGAACACCACCAAAAACCCTGGGGAAATGCCTGGTTTTTGAAAAGAACGATGGCTGAAAAGGATGGGGAATCAACCTCTAGAGCAATCCAAGAATGGGCTCGAGGGTGTGCTCATCTTCGGATGTGTGCTGGAAATCATGGAGACAAGCGGCATGTCGTTGTAGCCGCCTGTTAGGTTCGCTTTTCAGGGAAACCAAATTGAGGGCAGCCAAGGGTCTGCACCATTCATAGCCAGCAAGAGGGGAGCTAAGTTCTGGGGTCATTTTATCTGGGAGAAGGTATACTCCAAGAGGGAACCAACCCGTTTTTTTTCTGTTCATAAGCCATTCCCCTTTTGGTTGCCCTTCAAATTAAGACCACCCAAAGAACGGTACCCTCCAGCACAAACACACGATCAACCTCCGGAAAACAATAAGAGACCCCGCAATACCCGCGAAGGCAGTCCATCCAGGCGTTCACCTCGGAGGGAGACATCAGGTGGTGTCGTAGGTCCTGGGCGATCCGAATGTGATCACTCATGGGTTGTGATGTACTTATATGTATGTATCTCAAGGCCAACTTGCATACCCCACATGGACGCACCCCGCCTATAGGCCTATTCTAGGCAAATTCTAGGGATGGATTTTGCGGTACGTACCCTGTATAACCTATAGCCACTAACTTATATTTACATGTATGATGTATGTGTATATATATATATATATATTTATTCATGGTCAGTTGAATGTATTTACATGTATGATGTATGTATAATATAATGATGTCGTCTTAGAGAGTACCATTTACATGCCCATTGATTCAATGTACCTGTACAGTAATGGTAACCAAGCAAACCATCCTGTAAATCAAAAAAAAAAAAAATGCTTAATTATCTACTATACTGGTACCTGTGATTCACAGGCATGGGTTTCATTCTAGAGTACAGCTTTGGATGCTGTTTTAAAGCGTGTTTGGGGTTTCCTTCTTTGCAGACACGCCCAGGTGTCGAACAAGCACGGCTCAAAAAACAGTACAGACATGACGACTTGGTACATGGAACCAACGACTAAAGCCTGCGTAACTCTGTCTGTTTCATGTTTGAGCCACACCCATTTGAACGACCCAAAACCCAACTGGGTGTGGGTCAAAAATAGGTACCCAAAATGAACCCTGGGAAATGGAAACATGAACTAAAACCTGCGGTCCCCTAGTGGTCTAATTTTGACCCAAAACCCACCTGGAGCGACAAATCCCTGGGTGAGACCCAGGTCCTGCCTCCTGCCTTGCCAGTCGGCTGGCAAAGACATGGGAGGCGCGAGGCGGCAGCGCCACACCTGGAGAGTTGCGCCTGTTTTTGGGGAAACCCTTTTGGTGTTTTTTTTTGGGAACTGTTTTTTGGGGAACTGTTTTTTGGGGAACTGTTTTTTGGGGAACGTGGTTTGGTTTGGTTTGGTTTGTTTTTTGTTGCCATGGTTCGCTACCATCTGCAGTGCGCACCGTGGGCTCTATCCTGTGAGAGGTCGTCTTGGTCATCTTGGTCACCCCTTTTGGTTGGTAAGAGGAAAATCGAAGGACAACCACCGTTTTGGAGACTATGAAAAACACACAATTCTCCAATAACCCCGGATAAGATTGGTGTCCGGGTTTTTGTGGGAATGTTGTTTGCACAAGTACGCTCCCTAGCCCATGTCCTCCCCAAACCAACAGTAGACTACAAATATGTTCGTATCTAAATTTCGTCTCAAGATAAATATCAATGGCGATTCATACAACTGAGTTCCTGGACTTTGGCAAGAGTGGCTTACAAAAAGGAGGTGAAAGACGCAACAGGAGCAGACATCATGTCCCTTCGGTTCCCGGGCTTCCCAAAGCTCAGCAATCTACGTTCGAGTACATCGACTCCCAGAACCAAAGATGGGTCGTTTGGGTCCCCAAACTTGGACATTCCAACATGTCCAAACGGGCACTCGGAACCGCCCTTTCGCCTGCCGCCCGAGGCGAGGTCAGGGGAGAGCTCAGGGGCGAGTTCTCGCCCGGTACCTGCACTCATCTTGGAGGAATCAGGAATCTATCACTTTGGGGGGGAACACTCTTCGAAATTCATCCCCCAGGTTGATTAACACGTCGACATTTCAAAGATGCCCAACTGGGCCACTTAAATGTTCCCTCCCGATGAGCTGTTCTGCTTCTCCCAGGCTACTATTTTTCAGCAATGGAACGTATCAACACACCTAACGTGTGGGCAATTGACTACAATTCACAAAACTGAAACTGCGAATCTTCAAGTATGACACAATAATGGAGAACTCGCGTTTCCCTGGTCAGCTCATGTTTCCCTGGTGAACTAATATTCTGCCCATACACTTCCTGGAACAAACCAAGCCCCATGAGCACTGCTCCTTGGCACAAATAAGCCGGCGTATTCTGGGTGTGCCTGCACTTGGGAAGACTCAACTGTCAATTGATCTACGGATCATTCTTTGCGCGGCCCAACTCACCATATTCGGCAAATCGAGACCCGCAACATGCCATCGAAAAGCAAGCTCAACCGGCAGCTCACTTGCTCGAACGGCGCAGTTCCCGCTGCCGGGGTCGGCCTTGGCCTCGGTCGTTTGGTCGCTCGCTCGGTCGCGTGGAGCGTGGAGTGCAGCCCTGCAAAAAGCCTTCTTAGGCCCCTGGATTTCAACGCGAATCCAAGTACCATTTATCAAAGGATGATAGCTACCATTGTGTGGGTGTGAATCGTAATTGGTGGACTTTATGGTGGGCATCAGTTCCACCAGCCATTTCGGCAGTGTGTTTCCGTCAAAGTTCATGGTGTGAGAAAACTCGCATCAAACCAAACAAGCGCCTCCGGTCATGTGGAATGATCCCCGGGATTTGGAATGATCCCTGTCTTGCTAATCTCCCATTTGCCAGGCTTTGATTCTGGCTCATTTGTCTTTGCTTTTTTGCCCCTCTGGCTGGGGAAGGCCCTCTTTCTTGTTTAGACAAGAATGCATCAATCCATATGCTCAACTTGACGTGTCGGATCTATGTTGCGATGATTCCCACATCTGAAATCAGCAAAGGACCAACATCCAGTGAGCTCGCCTTTACCAAAAGAGCTTGCGATCAAACAGGCAGATACCATGAGCCTGACCTGCGCTTTGCCTGGACGGTTGCTCCGTTCTCTGCTCTGAGGACTTGTTCGACAGGTTTACCATGCAAGCAAGGCAAACCATTGTTTTCCATGGAATTCAGGCGTTCAGCTCAAAATCGAAGGAATGCATTCCCCAAATATGCCCCCTTAAAATCCTCTTTAAAGATCCCTTGTATACCTTGCACGTATATCTATCCATATCTAAAGAAAGCGGACACAGGTCGGGACCCGCCCCCACGTAGATGTATGTGTATATATATATATATATATATGTTCCCCTCTCTTCCAAAACATCACTGAATTTTGAACATCCGCGAACCCAAAACCTATGGGAAAAAAGTCTTCGTCCCTACGCGCACACGCAGCCGTCTGGCCCCCTCCCCCGTCGTTTTGCAGAGCCACCGCGTGGGATTCGCTTCTGCTAGTCCCGCGCCACCAGCATGGAGGGCCTGAGTCCAGCCAGATCTCACCAAGCCCGACGAGCAATCACCTTCAGCCATGTAAGTTGGTTCCTCATCCCTAGATCATCAGTTGGACCCTCCAAACGGCCATTGCACAACTCCTAGCCCAAGCGGACACTTGTGGGTGCTTCTCAAAAACAAGGACCCCTCCAGGTAGATGGTTTCCGCCGAGCTTTGCTTTGAAACCATCTGAGAAGTCGTTCTCTCACCCCCGAACCGGTCCTAAAGTCGGGAGCTTTGGCTTTTTTGTGTTTCCCTTCAAATCACCTTCAACAACCCCCACAAAAGACACGCCCATATTTACATGCATGACCATTTGTGTCTTTCTTAAAATGGGAATCAGTCGGATCTCGTCAGTGTGTGTCTTTCCCGAAATGCCGAAGCCCTACATGGAGGTGAAAGGAAACCCAAAGGAAGCCAACCCACTTGAGGTGTCCCTAACTTTTGGAGAACCCGAAATTCTCGACATTGTGCGGTGTACGTTCTTCACCCGAGCCACCTGGTTTTTTTGGGGGCACCCCCCTGTGGCGTTGCGTGGGTCAAAAATGCGTACCCAAAATGGAAGCCTGGAAGGGAACCAAAGACTAAAACCTGCGAACCTCTGGTGGTTGTATTTTGACCCATACACATTTCAAAAGGACTGCCCTTCCCTTGCCTCCTGCGCCATCTCCTGCTCCACCTGTCGAAAACAATCACTTGCAACCGGGTGCCTCTTGGCGCGAAAAACTTGGAGCCGCAGATGTGTAGCGAAAGTTTCAGTGGGTGTTTGTTCCCTCTTCCGTCCAGGTGTGGTCTTGTCCAAAGGCAGACCCTGCTTGCAACACTTGGATATTACAGGGTCTTGGATGATGATTGACCAGATTGACAAACCTCAGAGATTCGTTGGGCGAATGGCTCCCCAAAACTTGAAGGACCCACCAAAACTGGGACCCCCTTTATTTATGAACCAGAGGTCGACATTGACCCTTTTGGACATTCAATGGTTCACCCTTTCTGCTTTCCACTTGACTAAGATACTTTACCTTTTGAAACCTTGACTGGAAATGGGCTTGTATCCAGTGCAACGAGCAAGACGGAGTGTTCCAAGTGCTCACGCGACACACTTGCCCACGACGAAAGCATATGCATCCGCATGCCGCCAAACGGAAGAAAACCTTTTTTGGACTCTCAAATGAGCCTAAAATGGGTGGTGTCGTCCCAGTTTCTCGTTATGACCAAAATGGCGGGACCCTCAACACAAACACAAAACTGGAAAACCAAAAAAGCGACACAAACGAGGTCCAAACCTTGCAAAACTAAAAATGACCGAATCCCTCCAACCGCTCCCGCACGCTGATCATGGCAAGATCCACAATGCCTTCTAAAACTGACCTTTCAAAGGACAACTTGGCAAACACTGATAATTTTTTCCCAGAATGGTTTCCCCAGCACCCAAAATGGATGGTCTCCCGAGAAAAGCCCGGGAAACCCAGCAAAGCAAAAACAACAAAGTTACGAGATTCGGATGATCCTTGACAACACCACAAGCCCTGCATTTGGGTAGGGGCAAACCGCAGGTGTTTGTCCATGTTTCCACTTGGGAACCGATTTTTGGGCCACCGCCATTTTCACAAGCCGCCCACGCTCCCGACCGCTACCGACTGAGCCGCCGGGCGGAGTTCATGAGCGCTCGGCGCAGGCCGTCGCAGACCGCGCTCTCGCGATAGGCCGCCTGCGGGATTTCTGATGGTTTCCACATAGGGTTCCACATAGGGTTCCAGAGGTTTCCAGAAATTTCAACGGTTTTCATGGGGAAACCCCTGCGTTTCCATAGGTCTCCATATGTTTTGTCCCGGACCCCTTTCCCCTCCGTTCCCCACGCATTCCACTGAACGTTACTGTGGAGAAAATCCGCGCCGAACAGTGGAAGTGGATGAAACCTGAGTTGAATGGTTGAGAAAAAACCTACGGCAGGAGTTTCTCCACTTCCGTTTTTTGGGGCTAGTTTCCCTCCCAAGGTCTGTTTAATCAACCCGGGGGCATGGAGAGTTTTGTGTCAAACTCGGGGATGGCTTTTGGAAACCCAGGGAGACTTGTTCCCATTTGGTCTACCCTCCCACCAATTAACACATGGAACCTGACGTTCGGGGGGTCCTGGTTTGTTTTCTTTTTTTTTCAAGGGGTCAGGTTCCATGTGACAAAGGTGGGAGGGTAATGAAGAATGCCTCATCTGAAATTGCCCCAAGGGAACTCACTTTAGATCGCCGATGCTTTGAAAACCGAAAGGGGAAACATAGAGACCCCAGCCTTATCGAAAAGGATGTATGAACAGCTCCACCCGACCCCGTTCTTGGGAACACCTAGGAATCAGTCCTTTTGGGAGCAACCAACAAATGGAACCCAGGGTTGGTTCCCCCTCCCATTATTTCCCTCTCACATGCAGTCCTTTGAGGGATAACCCGACAATAACAACCCCTAAATGGCCGTGGGTCAAAAATAGGTACCCAAAATGGACCCCTGGTAAATGGAACCAAGGACTAAAACCTGCGGTCCCCTGGTGGTTAAATCTTGACCCACGCCCACATCTCTCTCTCTCTCTCTCTCTCTCTCTCGCTCAAGGACCTGGTTCTGCTCGACCACCTCGTGCCGCAGCTTTGCCATCTCCCGGCGTGCCGTGTCCACGTCCGCCTCCGCCTGCCAGTCCAATCCAAGTCAAAAAAGAACGTGTGGGACATGCCTACGTAGGTGCGTCTGCCTGCCTGGACCCTGTGGGTGGGTGGGTGGGTGGGTGGGCGGGCGGACGGACGGACGGGCGGGCGGGCGGGCGGGTGGGCGGGTGGGTGGATGCATGCATGCATGGATGGATGGATGGATGGATGCCTGCATGGATAGTAGATACAATACAACGCAAACACCAACCAGTGTACATGAGATGTAAATATATATATATATGTATATATATATATGTATATATATGTATAGATATACATAAACCGGATTGTCATACATTTACGCGCTTATACATATGAATATATATATATATATATTACACAGTGTGCCCGCTGTAGGACTTTTGTGCTGGCCGCCGATCACACATTCCGAAGACACCTTGCCCCGGAGACACATGCTTGGATCGTCAGGATGGGTCCTCCGAAGCCTCGGGGAGCTCCCGATGACGAATCCCCCGCCGAAGGATTCATCCCGATGCTTCTGAGGAGTGGTCGTTTGCGCAGGAGAAAAAAGTGCTGGTGATGCAGGGGATGCAAGGACGCTGGGCCAGTCTGTCGTAAAATTGTGGCCCAAGAGCCAGGTTTCATTTTGGCAAGCGGAAATGCTGGCGATGCCCCAGTCTGTCGAAATGTTGACACAAGACAAGGGTCAGCGATGCTGGTGATGCTTGCACACTGTGCCCCGAGCCTGTGTCAAACTCGAGATAGATCTTTTCTGCGTCAGGATTCAGTCCGCATGAAGGGGGCCACACAAGAAAGATCTGATGC